GAGGCCCAACAGTGACTGGAAGGGGAAAAATAAGCCCTTCTGTCATCAAAAACCTCTATATACCTCTCGCTTCAAAGTGAACTACTGTATATATGTATAGGCTTGATTTTAATTTTAATATATACTTTTTCAAATAAAAGCAAATGTGCGTACGATTACGTTATACGAATCGAAAAAGTAAACAAAGACAGACGGAATTTTAAATGCGAAAAAAGATCATCGGATTTACATACCCTGTAATATAAATTGTTCTCATTCTTCATAACTGATTTATACCGTATCAGTATTCACGGAAATTCCAAGAAACTGACGATAGAATGCCTTTCAGAAAGGTTTCATTTCTCGAAATCGAATTTAAAGATGTTGATAGATTCAATATAATTGTTTATAGCCCACCATTTGCGAAAGATACTTCAGAAAATCAATATTGGCACTTGGTGATTAGACCGGTAAATTTAATTTGTTATTAATAACCTATTGGAGGAATCAATTCGTTAAATATCACTTTCATTGAGAAAAATAGGAAAAATCCGAATTCTCCATATACATCGAGCCATTGAAATGCAATTCAACCAGCATCAACAACTTCAAGAAACTTATTAATTTTCTTCAAATCACTGTCAAAGATTTGGAAGGAAAAGAAATTGAGCCCGAACGAGAGGGAACCTGTATGCTTTAATAATATTTACCCTTCAAAGTCGATTACTCTGCATTAACCACATTCACACAATTTTACAGCCATCTTAAAGGTGTTTAGTAGGTCATCTCTTCGTGGTATCATTACAATTGGGGTTGAAACGATCCCTTTCAGGAATGAAGACTCAATTAACGCGTTTAAATATATCGAGCCGCTCTCAAAAGAATACATGATTACTAGGAAGTCGCCAGAGCGAATAGATAAGATTTTAGGACCAGCATTGAATGTAAAGTTTAACGTTCAAAATCATCCTCTTTTTGCGAACAGCAAAGTCCTCTCGATGTTTTCTCCGTACTGGAAAGATAGGTTGAACGAACAACGTGAAGACAAAAAATCAAGTTTTACTGGCGAAAGAGAACATGACGCAAAAGAATCGTTTCGTCATGTTTACAAAGAATTTGACGTCGAAGAACACGACTATCTCATTATTTTACATATGATTCAAGTTGCTTACACTGGAGATATCACAATCGGTAAGAAGCGAGACGCCTATCGGGATCTACTTATCTTGGCGGATCGATATCGAATTCCTGTGCTCAGGATAATTGGCGTAAATATTGAAAACGCGGCGAAGTTGTATTTCGGATATTCTTGTAGTCAGTTGAAAGGCTACATCATCAACAATTTCGATGAGATAGTTAAGACGAAATCGTACGACGAGATATTGAAGAATCACGAGAAATATCCAACGTTTCTTGATATGTACGAAGATATTTTGGTCGAATTGTGTTCATCCGAGCTCTGATATCAGACCTATGCGAGTTATGGATCGCACGATAATTCAAAAACGATTTTTAGGCATCATTGCTCGTCCTCGCGTGTACGTCTTTCAATAAAAGATTATTTTTTCAAGTTCTTGAAAAAAAAACACTAATGCCTAGACCGCAGCAAATGAGACGCCGATTAATGGTTACGGTAGATCAGGTTTGATCACATCCTTGGATGTAAAGTGGATAACCGGTCGATTTGCATTTCATATATTTAATATATTATAAGCTAACCTTTCCTCACTTTTTTTCAAAAGAAAAAAAAAAAGATAACTCATAAATGAGGTTTATATACATTTGTGCGTATGCACACTGTGGTTCGGGAAATTTTTTTGTGGAAATTTGTGCAACATTAATGCTATTTTAATGCCAGAATCGTGCATACAGCAATAAATAACACTTTCCATATGCAGTAGTACATTCTTTAAATATGATAATTTTCAATCTTTTTAATGGCATATATATACCTTACCGATGTTCGGACGTTTTTTTTTTAATTGATATGTTTCGATCAGAAAGTGTCTTGTGAATGGTACGAGAACCCATGCACATCAAGCAAACAGCATTCCATTCCTAAAAGGTCGATGTAAGAGGATAGGATAGATCGTAGCCTGCATTTTCTCGATAGCACGCTAGAAACAGGTAAAGATCAATATTCTACGCATATAAATTAGCCCGGTTAACGAAGAATTCTTGTGAATTCTTTCTTTTCTACTATAATGATTTTGTGAAACAGCATGCATATCAATCTATTGTCTCAGTAGGAGTAACAAGCAACAGTAGTTGAAACACGCATCTTTCCCCGTATGTCAATTTACCTACAACTTTCCTGTATTTAATTAACACTGGTCCTACACTAAATTACGTAATTTAAAATTGTTCTTTTCGTTTTGAATAATCGTTTTGAAAATTTATTTTTCTCCTTTCCAAACTTTCCCCTCCCTTCAATCCTTCTTCCTTTCAATCCTCCCTCCTTTCCCTTCCCCTCCACCGTTTTCGATTACTTTTGAAACCATCCCCAGTCCTTCACTCTTTCTGCTCACTCTCTATTTTCTTTTCTTTTTTTTTTTTTCCTATAATCTCTCTTGCTAACATAAAGAATTTCACCGTCACTATTCCTAAACGAAACACCATCATAAAACTGTACACCATATTTTATCATTTCACATTATAGAAAAATATACATACATTTCAGATAGTAGTAATTCAATATGGAAACTGGCTACAGCGCGCAAATGAGCTCGCTTAGCCGCGGCCGGACTCTCAGCAGGCCTGAAAGATATCAAGCAACAACTCCCATGTTGCCCGGTAAAAAAAAGGATACCTTCGATTTATGGGTATTCTTTTCCAGATTGGTCACCTTTTGGGCACCCGGAAAATTGCTATCATCCTTGGCTGGTCTCTCGGACAAGCAGTCACAACAAGCCTGGCGGGAAAAAATTACATTGTGCTTTATTGCATTAATTATGAGTGCCGTTGTCGCCTTCTTGACCATCGGCCTTTCCTCCGTACTATGCCCCCCTTCTCAAGCCAACAATCCCGCTCAATTTATACGATTCGGAGAGTCCTCAGGTAAAATCTCACCAGCTCCTTTAGATTATTAATCAAGTGCACATTTACTATATTTACTCACTCGCATAATAATTTTCATTTCGACAATTAGGTCACCTCGGTATTCTAGGATGGCAATTCAATGTAACGAACGCAGCAAACCCCTCAAATTTCAATTTCATAGCCGTAGCGCAACAACAGAATGGGCAAGACATAACAAATTATTTTTCACGTGACAATAGTGAACTAGACAGTTGTCAATTTCAGTCCCTTTCAAATTTCAGAGCAGTGACACTACCATTTTGCCAAAACAATTCTTGTGTCCTTGGTCCACTTAATACCAAGACCCTTAACTCTTACAATATACTTAACACGACCAAAAGGGTTGGGTACGACTGGGATCAGCTCTCTCAACTGCCCAACTACTTGGTCATCGATGGAAATGTGCTCAATCTTAATCCATACATTAAAGCATACCCAAAACCAATACCCAATGATATGATGGACGTCGTCATTCGTAAAGTTTTATCCACTGGTGATACCGACGGTGGAAAAGATGCAACACGCTTGTTCTTTGGCAGACAGAAATTGAAACTTGGTGTTAACTGTCTTGTTAACAAATATTATGCTGGAAACATTGACAAACAAACAATCGGATGTTTCACCTCTCAACTGTTCTTATATGTCTCGCTGACAGTTATCTTGGGGGTGGTCTTGTGCCGTTTCGCGATGGCATGTGTATTCGACTGGTTCATCTCCCATCGTCTCGCTCATACACCAAAGAAAAGGAATCTTCCAAGTCAAGAGGTTGTTGGTTCCACTCAACCTTGGAACAAAGGAAATGGTGACACCAAGATAACGAGCGTTGACGACGTTGGAAACGATTTGTTCACTGTCCTGCTCATCACTTGTTATTCCGAAGATGAAGCTGGCATAAGGTGCACTTGCGAATCAATGGCTTCCACCGATTACCCCGATGACCGGAAATTATTATTCCTCATTTGCGATGGCGTTATAGTTGGTAGTGGTAATGATAAGAGTACCCCAGATATTTGCGTCAGTCTTATGGAAATCGGTAGGTTAGCTTTAAATTATCTCCTCTTGGAAGCCCTCGGAAACATTATCTCACCCGAGATGTCCATCGACAGATCCCGAATTTTCGGATCCCCGGCCACAAAGCTACATCGCCGTGGCCTCAGGAAACAAGCAACACAATATGGCTAAAGTCTACGCTGGACACTTCCGTAAGTGGAAAGAGTAATCTCTATGCACCGATTTTTATTTTATTTATTTTTTCGATGCACTATCCATTGTAACAGGTTGTAATGATCGTCGTGTTCCCATGATCTGTGTCGTCAAATGCGGGAATCCTAGCGAAGAGGGAAAACCCAAACCCGGCAACCGAGGAAAACGTGACTCTCAATTAATCTTGATGAACTTTTTCAGTCGAGTCATATACAATGATCGCATGTGCTCCTTGGATTATGACCTCTTTAGAAAAATTCATCGCTTGATGGGGGTCACTCCTGACTTTTTTGAGATCGTACTAATGGTGAATAATACATCCAATCCTCCTCCATATGTATTTTTATGTTTGTCACGTGAACACTAACATGAATTCTAATGATACTCAGGTGGACGCCGACACAAAGGTCTATCCTGATTCCTTGAGGCTTTTGATTAATTGTATGTGCAATGATCCCCTCATCATGGGTCTCTGTGGAGAAACCAAGATTGCCAACAAGCGGGATTCATGGGTGACCGCCATTCAAGTCTTCGAGTATTACATCTCTCATCATTTGGGCAAAGGTTTTGAATCTGTATTTGGTGGTGTCACCTGTTTGCCAGGTTGTTTCTGCATGTACCGTCTCAAGGCGCGCAAGGGCAATGACGACTGGGTACCGATTATTACCAAACCCGAAATTGTTCAAGAATATTCTCAAAATGTTGTTGATACACTTCACCAGAAGAATCTATTGCTTCTTGGCGAAGATCGTTTCTTGACGACTCTCATGTTGCGAAATTTCCCACACCGTAAAATGATGTTCTGTCCACAAGCTGTCTGTAAAACTATTGTTCCCGATGATTTCCGAGTCTTACTCTCTCAGAGACGTCGTTGGATCAACTCTACAATCCACAATCTCATGGAACTAGTTCTTGTTCGAAATCTTTGTGGAACCTTCTGCTTTTCCATGCAATTTGTCATCTTCATGGAATTGATTGGTACAGTGGTGCTTCCCGTTGCCATCCTTCTTACCTATACTTTGATTGTCTCCATGGCCTTGCACCCACCGAAGAACTTCTCCGACGCTATCCCGTTGATGATGTTGGCGATGGTCCTCGGGCTGCCAGCAATTTTGATTCTTATCACCACAAGGAAATTGATTTACATTACCTGGATGGTCATTTACCTTTTGGCCTTGTTCGTATGGAATTTCATCTTGCCAACATATGCCTACTGGCACTTCGATGATTTCTCATGGGGTGAAACTAGAAAAGTTGAAGGTGAAGCTAAAGGCGATGATCATGGTAAAAAAGAAGGCACCTTTGATGCCTCCAAGGTCCCGTTGAAACGTTGGGAAGATTGGGAACGTTCGCGAATTCGAAAGATCAAGCATCAAGAACGTCAAAGGAGCAAGGCTACGATGCATACTCCATCACATTTGACGCATCAGGTCATAAGCGGCGAAGATGATCCGAAACGCCAATTGCTATCTCAATACGAAGGCGAATATTATGAAGGGGAATCGATTGATTCGGGTGACATGGGAAATCAACAATATTATGATTACTCGGCAAACGTTACATACCTACCATCAACACAATACAACAATTACCCGCAGCAATATCAACAACAATATCCGCCTCGACAACAATACCCACCACAATCACAATATCCACCACAACAGCCGCTCGAGTATCAGTATGAACAATATGGAAACCAACTTGAACGTGCACCGTCTAGAGGTTACCATTATGGTGATAGAGAATAAACAATGTCTTTTAGTTTTAATGATACTCGAAAGATCCCTGTATTTTTTTTTTCTTTACATCAATAATTTGTATTTAACTGGCGAACATCATTGTCACAAAAATATTCAAAATGAATAATTTTTTATTTAAATTAAAAGGTTTGAAAAGATTTTATTCCTTTGCGTTAGATGTACATTTGAATTTGATTTGAAATTTTCAAGTGAGAGAATAAAGTTATTTCTCTAAAGAACTGCATTCATCATTGACTTTCTTAAATTGTAGATTTCCATGGACTTCACTTAATAATTTGTATATTTATATATAGATATATGATCAATAAAAAAGCATTTAATCGATTAAGAAAAATGTCCCTTGCGTACGATTTTTTTCAAAAGATAACCGTACTATTTTTTGATTTGGTTTCTAATTATAGAAACTTCTATCACGTGCACAGAAAGAGTTCTTTTAAGGATGACCATGGTTATGTGGCATCATTGTGAAACTAATTAATAAAATTTTCTTTTTAGAATGTATCATCGTTACAATGAGTTACATGATTATTATTTCTTTTAGAATCGTAAATAGAAATATACAAACCAGATAACCCAGATGCATCCAATATTCATATTTAAGAGTGGATGTGCAATTTAAAAAGGAATAGAAGGTCATTTAATTAAGGACTTTCAATATGAAACATGAGCGTCACCCATATAAAAGGTGTCGATTTCTGAAACTCGGCGGTTCCAATGGTACGTTGCTTGATCAAAACCCAGGTTGGACATTGACAGAAATGAATGATTTGCCTTAATTGAAAACAAATCGAAGTCAATCAACATATGACTCCATATTTTGTTATTTAACTTTATTTATAGAAAAACCAGTTTTTATTGAGTCCATTCTGTGTGTAATTATTTATATGACATGACACTATTTTATATCAACGCTATATACAGTATTTACCTTTGCAAATTATAACTATAAATCTTACAGTAATATAAAAAGCACTCGTTATTTTATTATTTATCTTTTATTATCTTATTATCTTAATTTGTTATTGTACTTAAAATTAAGATTAATTATTTTGACAAATAATATTTAAAGAAATAAATTTTTAAATACAAAAAAGATTTTGGCTTACTTTTATTAAATCAAAGAATACATTATAATTCAATCAAAATATTCAAAGATAATATCTAATAAAAGTTAGTTTAAGAAGTATTTTACTATCATCTTATTGTTATTCACTAGGGGATTTTATATTTCAATTGCTAAAAAACAGATATTAAAAATAAAAAGAATAAAAATATATACAGTATATAAAATAAAAATATATTAAATATAAACTTAGATTTCTAAAAATTCTTTCTGTTAATTCTTTGATTATACATAAAAAAGATGTTTGCAAGAAGTTTTTATACTTTTTTGCTAATAAAGTTTTAATACTTTCCTTAAAACAACTTAAAGTATAATTTCAAGAGTCATCTCTATCCTTTCTTTTTTGTTTATAAATCTTTTTACTCAAAAACTTGACTCTTAGTAATCAAAAAAAGTCAAGTAATATCTTTGATACCAATGATAAGAAAGTTTTTAAAGAAAGAAAAATTGACTGTAAAGTATCTAAAGGCCTATTTAACCTTTGAAGCAAGAGGTTTATAGAGGTTTTCTGCAATACAAAGACTTATTTTCTTTCTTTTTAACTGTCTTGGTTCTCTTAGAACTTCTATTTTCATAGTTTTTTGAAAAATTTTATTTATCTCAATTTGATTCTAAATTTTGAGTAGCATAAATCCTTATCAAAGGTAATTGATCAACATGAAATATATTAATTTTTAAAATGTAAACAAGCTCTTATTGATTATATTCACATGTTCTAATGATGTCATTAATAATTAAAAAGAAGGTTCCGGAAACATTTATCCTTAAAAGTTCAAGTTTCTTAATAAAAATTTCCATGACATTAAAAGATCAAATAATAGATAATGTAAATTATAAACTCTCATCTCTTATCTAAATTCCTTAAGTAGTGAAAAAATTTTAATGAAAAAAAGCCAAGGTCTAAATACTTTTCTTGAGATATCCCAATCTAGTACTCATTTAAATAAAAAACCAGTTGGATTGACTTGTCCAATGCTACAGATATTGAAAAAGAAGATTTCTTCCAAGATTCAAGTGAAGCAAGGAAACTATCCCAATCAGATAGATCCTTTTTAAGAAAAGGTTGTTTTTATTTTTGAAATTTTTTGATGGACCTTGAATTGTCCCTTTTTCTCAATCATTTTCTCTTTTCTTTTTTTAACTTAACAATTCATTAGTCAAATTGTTAACAATTATTTTGATAGATAGAAGTTATTATCAATCTATCAGGGGAGTATAATATTATTTTTAAAATCTAATTTAGAGTACTTATATATGAAGATAAGTTAGTCACTTTGTAAAAGTCTATAAATTATTGTAGATTTACATTAATTTTTTAATAAAGACAAGTTATCATGATATAATTACAGGTTAAATATATATATATATATATATAAACTTAGATTTCTATATATATTCAATCAAATTCTGCAGTAGTAACCTGCAGGCAATAAAGTTAACAGTTGGAAGGGTCTTTACCTGAACTGCTAACGGAGTGATAAATCACTCCTGAAGTTGCACTTAGAGTTTTAATAATTCTTAAAATAGAGACGAGTGAGTTAGGTAGAGACTTAGCTTTAGCGATACATTTTTAATGTAAAGTATACATATGTTTAATAAAGCACACATACCTAGCCTGACAGAGGGTATAAAAAAAAATATATATATATATATTCAATCAAATTACAGTAATATCTCAACAGTAGATAGAAAAGAAATGAGAAAAATAAAAGTATAGGCAATAAAGCTTATCAGAAGAGTATCTACTGATAGTTAAGACTCAGTCAATTTTCTCTCAAGTTTGATCAAAAGAGATCTATTAAAAAAAGTAGAGAAACTCGAATGTGAAGAAAAAAAGATAGGAACAGTTATCAGAAAATGGATACTTCATTGTCAAAAGAAGACTTTAAATTACTTTAGAAAAAAGGTGTGAAACAAATGATATGAACTAGTAATAAAATGGAAAAAAGCTCAAGGGATTTTCTGAAAATGTAAAATAAGATGATCTATAAAGTCTTATTCAACAAGAAAAATGAAAAAGTCAAGAGAAGAAAGAAAGAAAATAGAAGAAGAATGTCCAGGAAAAGGTTTAACAAGGATAATAATAATGGGAGTTAAAAGTGGGATGAAATGGTTGGGTTTTAGATTCAATCAGACCCTTGGATCGTAATTTGTAGTAGTGACTGCAATACTTAGAGTTTGACAATAAACCAAGATGAGTAAGTTAGTTAGTATTTTAGCTTTAGTGACACTATAAATAGTATAGCCTATATTATGTTTAATAAAATATATATAACTAACCTGACAACAGATTATAATTAAAAATATATATATATATATATTCAATTAAATTGTCATTAAAACTCTTTCCGCTGATCCCTTTTTTCCTTAAAAATTTTCTTTTTTGATAATTTTTTTGGAAAAGAGAAACCAATCTAATACACTTTATCCTTTAAAGATCTGAGACTTACCAATAAACTACAATATTCAATCACTTGCCCAAAGATTACTTTATCAATTAAAAGAAGTACAGGTAGCACAACATCATCTCAGCTTTACTTTACTTTATAAGGAAATAAAAATAAACCTATAAGCTGATTCACAGTAAGCCTAGAAGAGCTTAATATTAACTTCTCAAGTTTCTAACCAGGCAAATATCAGTTTACACCTTTCTAGGTACTAGAAGAAACTTTATTAATAGTAGTTCTTATCAATAAATCAGAAAAAACTCAAAGTTTATAAAGCCCAAAAGGATATTAAAAGCTTTTAAAGACTAAACAATAGAGTATCCTGATTTTATAAACACTTGTCTAAACAATAAAACAAGTTATACAAACATATATGCATCAAACAAGTTAGTATCAAAACAACATAGCAAGGTTTATCAAGAGTCTATGAACAAACAATACATTCTTTACAATAAAAAAGATTAACAACTATTTTGATAAACAAGCAGATCAAAATAGGAAGATTCAATAACTTATTTAAGTAAACAATATTTCAAATAAGATAACAAACAAGTAATTCTACAAACCTTGTTAAATATAAACAAATAAAGAAGATAAAAAAAACAACAAATAGCAATTTATTCTCCTTTACATGTGACCAATATAACAAAGGAATGAAAAATTATACAAATTGCAAAGAAAAGAGAGTTTCATATCCTCAATATAATAGATAAAATAGTTGAAAAATATGATTAGAGAAAAGAAATATGGATTATCCAAATTATATATCTTGTATAGATATTCTACTTACTAAAATAATACAAGAAATAATATTGAGTAAAAAAAATTTTTCAATACTCTTACTATACAAAACAAGTTCAATCAGATACCAATATCAATAGAATATTCAATACACAATAGTATTCTTGCAAAAATTCCAAATGTAGATCCAATTACATTCCTTGAAGCTGAGGTCCTCAAACAATATATTCTCTATCTATGGAAACAAGGTCAAGGAAAAGAAGAAGACCTTATGGCTAATGATAGATCCCTAAAATATTTAGCATATAAAATTTTGCAAATCATTTATGTCTTTTTTTGAGGGACAAAATTTATAGCTCTTCACTTTAATAGAGACAAAAGTTAAAAAATACTATAAATCAATGATTTAAATAATGAAAAACAATTGTGTGTAGTTTTTTTATAGTTATTAATTTAAAAATTTTAATATTTTCTAGTGAAAAACATTTGACTTTTGTCTCTGTCTCCCCCTTTAGTAACATATTTTTACTTATAGTACCCTTTTTGAAAGAAAAAATCAAATTTATCTTGGAACAAAATATCATCACAAATAGATTTTTCCCATATTCCTAAAACTTTTCAAACTAAGGATGAGTTCACAAACTTTATAATAAAAAATTCAATCTCAAAGAAAAATA